CATGGATAGAACAAACAAGGGAAGATCTTTTACCTAAAACAATAATCTTTCTTAGAAGCATTAAGCCACCACTAAGATTAAATGTGTCATCTGACAAACACTGTAGGATGAAAGACACATAGAAATAGCTTTAAAATCATATTCAAGGCAAAGCAGTATGAAGACATTTTGTCTCTTCAGGAGCTGTTTTCTGTTTTCTAATTTAAAAACAGAAAACTTTTTTGTGTTTATAAAGAGCATGTGCAAACACAGGTGGGAGTATAAGTGTGTAATAGGTGTGTATCCTTTACCTCTGAGTATACATGTGAAATTAACATAAAATAAAAAGTAAGCTCTATAATTGTCCTGGAATGTTATTAATTTCATCAACTTATGTTCAATGAGGGATCAGGGATAAAGCATTAATTTTTTTTTTTAACTTCACAAAGTCTATTTTTAAAAGGTTTAAAGAAGGGGACCAGCAGTTAGCGTAACGGCTATGTCGCTGAACTCCCATGTAGTAGATTGCAGTTCGAGTCCCGAACCCGGTGGCTTAAACTCATGCTGGGTGCGTGGTGCACCTGCCCAGGACCCCGAGAGGAGAATGGAGGAGATGGGATTGCGGCGTGGCCATCCCCCCTGGGTGGTAATTTCTCTTTTTCTATCCCTTTGTCTCTCTCTGTTTTTCTGGCAAGCGCACACACCCTATAAAAAAAGAAAAAAAAGTATCAATGATCACCTTTAAAGGAAAAAAAAAAAGAGAAGTATAAAACTGACTCAGATATTTAACTAGAAGAATGTGGATATAAAAATTACTGGTAAAAGACTGGTCAAGTACACAATGAATAAGTATAAAATTGTGTATATAAAAAAGAAGAAGAAAATCACACAATTAGAAAAGAAAGTAATCAAGGTTCTTTGTCACTACTGGTTAAAGAGAAAGAATAATGAACAATTGCATATTCCTTGCATATCAGAAGATTTAATTTATATCCATTTTAGTATAACTAGTTTATAGTTTGCTGAGGGCATGTGGATTATTTTGTAATCCCATGAAATAAAACATTTAAAAATTAATGGGAAATAAAGTAGTAAAAAGAGAGTTTGAACTGAGCATAAAATGCCTTTTAGAATACTTAACAACTTTAAAGATTTGAGAGATCACTTTGTCATTTTTTAATGGACTTTTTCCTTCAGGACTGATACCAGGAAAATTCCAAAAGATTGTCTCATAATCAACTTAAGTCTATAAAGATTAGAAAGTCTTGGGACCAGCAGATGGCATAATGGTTACATTGCTGGACTCCCATGTAGTTGAACGCAGCTTGAGTCCCAGACCAGGCAGCGTAAAACTTGTGGGACCAGCAGTTGGCATAATGGCTGTGTCACTGGAGTCCCATATAGTCAGCCCTCCATGGTTCGAGTCCTGAACCCGGTGGCTTAAACTCACTCTGGGTGCATGTGTATGTGTGCCCAAGATCCCTCGAGGAGAATGGGAGAGAAGAAATTGTGGTGTGATCATCCCCCTGGGGAATGATTTCTTGCTTTCTGTCTCTCTCTTTCTGGCAAGCACACGTGCCTTATACCAAAGACCATTCAAAAAGCAAAACAAAACAAAAAACCTCATGTTGGGTGCGTGTGCGTGCATGCCCAAAATCCAGAGAGGAGAATGGAGGAGAAGAAACTGTGGTGTGGCCATGCTCCCTTGGGGGGGTGACTTCTTGCTTTCTGTCTCTCTCAGTGTGTGTGCCCTATAGCTAAAATCTCTCTAAAAAAGAGAGATTAGGAAGTCTCTATATTTAATTTTGTTTTCATTCTTGATTGAATTTTAGAATAAAAAAGGATGTGTGTGTGTGTGTGTGTGTGTGTATACATTTGAAAAAGATTGGTCTCTAATAAGCAATGTCTTATAATTTGCGATTATTTTCCTTTTAGTGTGAATAAAAATACAAATATGGCTCTTCAGATATATTTTCTCCTGAGCCCAAATGATGATATAAATTGTCAATGAATAACACATACAACTGATACTAACATTTTTGCAATGTATCAAAATCATATATTTATCTTTATCACTAAGAAGTCAAATTATTTTCAATTTAAAAGTACATGCCACGTAAGAGCAAACAATATGATATTCTAGAAATTAAAAAATAATAAAGGAGTTAGTTCAAAGTGAGGTGGCACAAACATCATTATATTGTGTGTGTATTAAACATAGTTTGACACAGAGGAGGAAAAATATATATATTAAATATCCTTACACCATTCCTAGGATAGTTTTTTTTAGTAATTCTCTGTACCAAAACCAAATTTTAATATAAATGAACAATGTCCTGATTGCTATCAGGCAACCAAACATTTCTTACAAAGCCCAGGATTTAGTTTTGCCAAAAATTAAGCTGTGTTTTGTGTATATATATATTATATTACAAACATAAAATTATACTAAAATTTAGTTCACCAAAGAGTAGACAGACTAAAAATTCTCTCAAACATTTTGTCTAATGTTACAGATTCCCATAAGAGTAAACAAGAATCCACATCCAAATGACCTCATTAAATTCACATTAAGAATAGTTAGGTTAGGTAAATATATTCGGCTAAGTCTAATACTTCCTGTATTTGACGTGCATCCGTCAATAAATTCTCAAACACACAAATTTATTGACTTCTGCAGTTTTGTTCTTTTCCTTATTTTTATTTTGCTTTTCCTAAGCGTGAACATAGTAAGATCTTACTATGTCCTTAACTGAAACTAATGACTACTGGACTTACTGGAAAGGAAGAAGCCAACTCATAGCTCAATCAGAAGAACAGAAAGGGGAACCAGCAGTTAGTGTAATGGCTATGTCGCAGGACTCCCACGTAGTCAACCACGGTTCGCATCCCGGACCTGGTGGCTTAAAACTCACACCGGGCACGTGTGCGTGCATGCCCAAGATCCCGAGAGGAGAATGGAGGAGAAGGGATTGCGGCATGACCATCCCCCCTGGAGGGTGATTTCTCGCTTTCTGTCTCTATGTCTCTGTCTGTCTGGCGAGTGCACGTGCCCTACACGTGCCCTATAGCAAAAATCTCTCCAAAAAAAAAAAAAAAAAAGAAGAACAGAAAGCAACAAACCATGCCTACACAGGTATTAGAGTTACCTACCCTTATGGGGCAGAAAAGTATGGGGTTTTTTTGTTGTTGTTGTTGTTTCTCTTTTTTGAGAGGTTTTTGCTATAGGGTGTGTGCGCTCGCCAGATAGACAGAAAGAGACAGAGAGACAGAAAGCGAGAAATCACCCCCCAGGGGGGATGGTCACGCCGCAATCCCTTCTCCTCCATTCTCCTCTCGGAATCTTGGGCACGCACGCACACGTGCCCAGTGTGAGTTTCTTAAGCCACCGGGTCCGGGACGCAAACCGTGGTAGACTACGTGGGAGTCCAGCGACATAGCCATTACGCTAACTGCTGGTCCCGAAAAGTACATTGTCAAATGGTAGTTTTCTTACAATTGCAATTTACTTAATTCTCTTCTTAGACCAAAATCTGAGATTTCATGACAAGACTAGTGAAATCAGCTTATCTCCTAGAAAACAGGAATGTAGACTGGGCATTTTCCCCAAGTGACTTCAGAAAGAAAAGAGCAGTGAGTCTCTGGGTGGCCAGTTTTCTGCTGGGTTGGACTAAATTTTCCTCAACACAACACAAACTACCACTCAGCTAGAAATTCAAAAAGTGCATAACTGCTAACATTAAAAGTAAGCAAATAATTTCTACATATATTCCAAGAAAACATTAAACCCTCTTAAATGAACAAGAACTAGAAGAAATGTAATTTTCAGATACAATGAGAAAGGATATTCAAGGAGAGTACACTGTTTTATGAAAATAAATTGCTACCCCTATAATGTAAGAATATAGTCATAAATCTTTTCAGAATATAATACATAGTATATTGAAAAGTACCTAATTCTGTGTATTTATGAGTTGAATAGGTACTGAAGAGTCAGAGTAAATGATTAGAACAGTAACAAAATCAATATGAATATTGATTTCTTGACTTTTCTTGGACTTCACAGTACATTTTTATATTTCTGTCAGTTTTCTATGTTTTCATGAGGACTTCTGTATAGTGGCCCACAATGGCCTATACTCACAATATTTTAAAATGGACAGCTCTAATTACTGAATATCCCTTTTAACAATGGCCTAAGTAAAAAGTATATATGTAAAAATATGAAAATACATTTGTTACAATAGAGTAGGCTCATGTTTTTATTATGTATTTTATTGTATTTTATTATTTTATTTTTAAGAAGGTTATGCTCAAACTCAGTGTTAGAAAACACCTACAAATGCTTTTGTCGGGGTTCCATTTCTTTTATTTTTGTTTAACATAAGGACTATAGATACCTAATTCATCTATTCACCTATCTGCTGGTATAACATTCAGTAAAATTCACTTTAAACCAGTATGTACCATGTGATGTATTTGGGTGCGATATTTCAGAAGTCAAAAACCATAGCAGTCATTGAGAAGGTGTAGTTATCTCCCCATATCCCTGTTTACCAGAATGTCTACTTTGTATCAATCACCCTGTTAGGACAGAATGCCCACAGACATAAAGAACCGTGAGTCCCATTCTTCAAAAGCCTATTAGGCACAGACATAGGCCTTCCCAAAGACCAATTAAAATGGAAGCCTGCAACCATGTATATTTTTGAGAAGGAAACAAATTGTGGATTAAAGACTGTATGAGAAAAGGAGAGACAGTTATATGGACAACAGAAGAAACAATAACAAGTTACTATCATTCTTAGAAAGAGAGCATACCTAAAAAGAGAAATTATGTGCTTAAAACTTACTACTAATGTGGATAAGATAAGCTTTAAGAAATACATCGTACATGGAGGTTATCTACTAATATATTGCTGGCCTGATTTGTTTTGGGATGTGCTTAACAGTCAAATGGTCAGATCAAGGTAAAGAAGAGATCAGCTGCAGAAGTTCAGAATCACAGCTTTCTCTCTTACCTTCCACTGAGGAGGAAGCCGATAACCACTGCCAATAAAATGACTCCCACTGTCACAGACACTGCAATTATAGGAATCTGGCTTTGATCGCTGGATGCTGCAACTGCTGATAGGAGACACAGAAAATGGAGCTTGGTGTTAAAGAGATCATACACATTCATAACAAGAGTTGCTTAATAGCTGGTAATTTGTGGTCTAAGCAATTTGCCCATATTTGGCTGAAATGTCCCTCTAATATCTCTTTCCAAAGTGTGTAATTGAAAAGGCATCTTTAAGAGAAAATATTTACTCTCCAAATAGAAATTCGAAAGCATCACTAAGTCACTGATCATTTCCTTGTCATCATAAAAAATGAATGTATATTGTTTGCATAGTATTCATCTAGAGGCCTTAGGTTTGCAAGATAAGATGGAAGTAATTCTTTGACTTCAAACACTTTAATCAAAATAGGAGGTATATGATCTGACGTTTTTAGAGTTGGTATGCTGCTGTTCTCTAGAAAATAAATCTGATTAACTCAGATAGGATTTATCCCCAAGAACTGGCTTGAAGTCCTAAATAACATGACTATGACCTTACTGAAGTTAAATATATTATTGCTATTCTGAAAGTAATTTTAAAGAAAAACATAATTGCAAGCAAAATATAAAAAGTCAGTATATTTTATAAGAAGAATCACTTTTTGAGAAATATCAAAGCATATATTTGAACTTTGAGAAACATGAAACAAGATTAGATTTATTCACATCAACTTTAAAAAACTAAAACATAGATTTAGATAAAATGTTACATTTTAACAATACAATTATAATATTTAGTGGAAATGAAAATAATTAGGTCGCTATACTAAAAAAAAGGCAAGATAAATTATTTTGTGTTGATAGCTTATCCTGATTAAAATAAGAAACCTATCGAGCAAAAGAAATTTTACTAATGTTCTCAGAATCTCCATTAGGCTATCTAGCATGATTCTTTTTAAAGACAGAATCATTTAGATAATTTCACGATAGCACAAGTTCACCTCTATGATATTAAATCAAGAACAATCATATTTTCCATCCTTCTTTTTGTTTCTTTCTTTTTTATTTTTAATAGTCTCTTAATGGATTTTAGTCTACCAATAGTTTCGGCTTTCTCAACACTTCCCTTTATACTGGGATGTCAGAAAAGGCATGATGTATTTTTTTCTACGCAAAATGGGTCATGACTTTTCTGACAATCCAATATTTAGTCTCTATGCCCTTGATATTTTCTTTAAATTGTTTTTAATTGCCAGAGACATATGCGCTCAACAGAGAGAGACAGAAGGAGAAAGAAGCCCTCAATGGAGTATGGTCACACACTACAATCTCTTCTACATTTATCCTTCCCTTAAGAATTTTAGGTGTGCCTGGCATGATTTTCAAAATTCCAGGGCCAGAATTTGAACCATGTGGTCAGCTATGTGGGAATCCATCTCCCTTAACCACTAGACTACAAGGCAGGTATTAAATTTAAAGTGAATTTCTTCCATAAGTGAGATGACAAAGAGACAGAGACACAGCGATAGCATCTAACAGGGTCCTGATGCCATGGTCCATCAGCCGGCACCAGACCATGATCACATGTGTGCACAGCATGAGTTGGGAGGTCTCTGGATATGAACAAGAAATGCTCCCATGTGGTCAGTCTTACAGAGCATTGTGTTTTACCTCTGCACTGCTGTTTGACCTCCCCACCCTTTATATTTTCTACCCCAAATTGACTCATTCTCTGACTACTTTCTTGTACTGATTTACATTTCAACCATTTCGGATCAGTCTTCAAGAGTCCAATGTTATCAAGAGCTAATCTAGTAAAACTATCATTATATTATTATAAGTGTAGCGCCTTACCTTCTCTTTCTTTGGATGATAATAGTTACAACTCAATGGTTCCTCACCCCAATGTCTCCTATTCTCCAATACTGAAAAATCTGGTTACTGGTGTGAGTTATAAACAGGGTAGGAGAAAACTACTCCACTATCGCTAGTTGCCTTGTCAAATGATTTGTTTTATTCATCTGCAAGCTCAGATTACTTCCACCATTGCTTTTGCTCAATACTTTTTCTTTTTAATAGGCGGCACTGTTTCTAGAGAAAAACCATGCCGTTTGGGGCCATGTAAGTTCAATGCTAGTTTGAGTGGGCGGCAACTGCTGCTCAAATACCTTTGAGTCTCTCTTAGTAATTCTTAATAAAATCATTCCTGTAATGAGTCTTCTTCACTTAATCCACTAATCCATTCCCATTTCTCAGGTCTTAGAAGTACTAAATTTATAGATAAAAGAGGATAATCAAGTCTGAATTCCATGGTTAAATGTACATTTGTAGCTTCTTTTGGCTTTTACCTAACTCCATTGTTTGAGCCCCTCCTGTCTCTTCCAAAACCTTGCTCCTTCAAAGATCTCCCTCAGGCAGAGGTTTTAGTCTCTTATAGACCACCTCTCTGTTACTTATAAGCAGTCACCCGCTTTTGGAAGAAGTAAACCCTACACCTAAACTTACTGGAGTCAACCTAAAAAACAAGTCCAGAAACGAGGTTCAATATTTACATGTGAGCCAAGAAAATTAAGCTTTTAATTTCTTGTTTTCCTTATCTACAAATAAGGTCAGTTTTCCTGAATTATATTTTTTTGTTAAGAGTTGAGGTAATAATGAAAACAAACAAACAAACAAAACACTTAGCTGGTGCTCCAACTCCTGACAATATTAAATAGCAGATATTATTTCTACTTGTCCTTTCCTGTTTCATTTACCATTCGTGTTTTCTGTGTGAGTGTCATGACTGAGTTATCTAGAACCAGTCTCACAGGCAGAAAGCCAACATCACTAAGCTCTCCCAAACTTTTCTCCTGCCTTCAGTGTTCTATACATGATAATGGCATTTACAAATGCAAGGAGTCCTCTTTCCATTTACCTTACCCTGCACTTTCATAAGGAACTTAACCTTTTTGAACATTTACCTCTTCTGTCAAAGTACTTTCTCTTTCATTTCTATGGCACCAGAAAAGCTATTTATTCTTAGTTTCTCTCTGAAGCACTGTGTGGTCAGTTCCTCAGTTCTGCGTTCTTTTCCTACATCTTTATTGTGAGTGATACTTGGTAAGGACTTACTCCTGATCCTCCTCACATCTTTCTCTTTCTTTCTGCCTTTCTTCCACTCTTTCTCCTGACCTCTTTTTTCTTTTTTTTTTTAGAGGTTTTGGCTATAGGGCGCATGTGCTCGCCAGACTGACAGAGACAGAGAGACAGAAAGTGAGAAATCACCCCCCCCCAGGGGGGATGGCCACACCGCAATCCCTTCTCCTCCATTCTCCTCTTGGGATCTTGGGCACACACGCACACGCACCTGGTGTTAGTTTTAAGGTACTGGGTCCAGGACTCGACCCGCTGTCGGCTACATGGGAGTCCATTGACATAGCCATTACGCTAACTGCTGGTCCCTCTCCTGCCCTCTTGTAAAAACTTCTTTGCCCATGGTAACTGACAATCAACAACAAGGGTGACAGAAATATCTTCAATACTTAAATCTCTTCAAAGCGTCACCCTAGTTTTCAATAACAAACTACTTTTCCCTTTATTTGGGTTTTATTAGAATATAATAATGAACAGTTTTAAAATTGACCTTTAAACCATCCCTACCTAAAAATATTAAGCAACAACACATCAACAAATAAATATACCATAAATCAAACATACCAAACTTATTCGATATCCTTCTGGTTTAACTATCATGGAATCTTTCTTAACCTCTACCTATTAGTTAATAATTAAATATGTCTGTGCTTCCTTAATGTTTCTTCCATCAGCCATCACTTATTTTGGTCAAAACTCATCTTTTTGATTCAAGTCTGTGTAATCAAAATGCTGGAATATGGTTCATAGTGTTTCTTTTTTCTGCCCTTCTGTACACTCATAAAAAATACACTAAAATACCAATTTGATTATCTATCTCTGGTCAAAAACTTAACAGAGTCCAACTATCTATCAAAGAAAATTCTCACTCCAGGATTAGAAAGGTCTTACAATATTAGCAAATCTGTCTGATCTCAATGTGTCAGTTTGGAAACTCTTACAAATACAATTTTGGGAGAAGGGGACATGACTAGAGATAAAGGAGAAACAGGGCAATTTATGGCCATCAAATGTTTAAGGTTTGAGAAAAAAATATGGGTTCTTGGTAGTGAACTTCACTTTTAATAATTACCAAGAACCAACTTAACAATGTACTAAAATATTATTCTAAGTATGGGGCAATATCTTGTATGAAAATAATTGTTAATGATATTCCAAAAGAATCTACATATTTAAGTTGGTACATTTTATAAAAATATTTTAAAGTAATAAATTATAAATATCTCTATGCTTCATCTAATATCCACTAAAGTTAGATTATTTCCACATAAGAAGCAATTAAGTCAAGAAGCTGTGAAGAAGAATTTAAAGAATACATTTTTGGGGCCAGTAGGTGGCATGGTACTAGGGGTGCTGGACTCCCACATGATTGAGTACAATTTGAGTCCTGGACCAGGTGGCTTACTTTCCCTCTCTTTCTGTTTCTCTCTATCTCTCTGATGACTCTAGCAAGCTTTTTTTTTTTAAATAACAATAAATAAACAATTTCTAAAAAGAATATATTTTCTTTTTTTAATTTACAACATTTTCTAAATTTCTCAGTGTTTTTAATTATTGACTATTACACATGCACTTAATTTGTGAGTTCTCTCCCTTCCTCCCTTCCTTCCTTCCTTCCTTCCCTTCTTTAATTCTTTCTTTTGCTAGAGGGTACACAGACAAGCACCCCTAATCCCATGGGAAACAGTCACACTATAATCCCTTCTCTCTCATCTCTCCCTTCTTTTGAGATTTTTGGGCGCGTACACACACACACACACCCCTAGTGTTCTTCTCAGGGCACTGGATCCAGAACTTAAATTGCAGTCAGCTGCGGGGAACCAGCAGTTAGTGTAATGGCTATGTCGCTGGACTCCCACGTAGTCGACCGCGGTTCGTGTCCCGGACCCGGTGGCTTAAAACTCACGCCGGGCGCGTGTGCGTGCGTGCCCAAGATCCCGAGAGGAGAATG